AAACCCTAAACCCTAAATAGTAGTTTCCATTTTCTTTTCCATTATCCCAATATATCCCCAAACCCTAAACCCTAAACCCTAAATAGTAGTTTCCATTTTCTTTTCCATTATCCCTGTATGGCCCCAATATACTATGAGCCTGCAGGATGCTCTGCCGGAAGATTTTCCAACCTGCCGTTGCCACTTGGAAGCAGGTTTGCCATAGCTTTGCGCAGATGCGCGGTACATTCTCATACCTCCATACACCCTAAACCCTAAACCCTAAATGGAGGTTTCCCAAAATTAGGGGTACCATTTTGGAGTCCCCATAATAAGAACTATAGTATATTGGGGTCTATATTGGGGTCCCCCCATTTAGGGAAACTACCAAATAGTAGTTTCGATTGTCTTTTCCACTATCCCAATTTAGCCCTCATATTCTATCTACCTAAAGGGGACATGGTTGTATGAGCCTGCCTTGAGTCTTTCACGGCTCTACGTACATTTGTCTGAGAGCCTGCCCATCCGTGTAGGGGATTGAGTTTGACCCATTTGATTTTAAGCCGTTCTTCTAACGCGTCATTTCGTCCTGATTTGTAAGCAGCCTCTCAAGTCTTGGGCACACCCAGGCATCCTAGATACGCTCACGTGGGCAGTACGCTTAGTACCATCAAGATCCAAGAGGATCAAACCTGGGTTACTGGGCTCACCGACCCTTGAAGCCAAGCGCTGCCCGCTGCTGCTGATGATGTCAATGAAGGTGGTCTTCCGAAAACATGAGCAATTTTAGGAAGCCTCACAGGATACATTACACATCATCGTGCACTTTGACCTCTCTCCCCTTAATCCAGAACCCACATCCAAAGCCTGCTCCCAAACCAAATCTCATCTCTTTACATAGAACATGCCAAGGCCTAGAGGACGTACGGACTCCAGGCCGTCCATGTGCTTTCAGCGTTAATAATGGGATAATATAGGGATAAGATAGGGATATCATATAGGCATTATGGAAAAGAACATGGAAACTACTATGATGGGTTATACAGGGTTCAGGGTGCAGGGTTTAGACTTGGGCGTTTCTCAAAATATCACGTAGAATTCCCTCCATAGTGTCCCCATCACCATCGCCCTGGTTGTGGCGACTTTACAAGGACGACCCATGGTCTTGAGAATGCCTAACTTCTGGTGGGACTCTCTTAAAAGCAATATCTCCCGCGAGACCTTCGGATCTGACCATTACTTTTGCCTTGGCGGTGAGTGGCCACTGATGTAATATGAATTTGCATGTCAAGTTCAGCATATTGAGGTGCATGAGGTATGAGAGAGCGCGAGTGACTTTTTGCTGAAGCCTGAATAATTTGATTTCCAATGTTATTGGCTGATAATCCTGGTATTCTCCAGAGTAATTAAGTACTAAGTCCCGAACCCCTTCTTAGTTATGCGGGCCCGTACAGTACATTCTACTTCCTACACTGACAGATGAAGCTCCTGGACCTTCCTCCATACATAGGAGCGACTGCCTTTATCATGGTGTAGGAGCCAAGGTAAGGCAGAGCAATTGTCCAGGCATGAACATGCCCTAGGCCACCCCAAAAGCGATACCCCAAAATGGGCGACTTATCACGATCCCATCCAGAAGCAGATGTGGCGCATCCGGGCAAATGATCTGGCAAAACATTGTAACCCTGTAAATCATAGGCCCGCCCCCAAAAAGCGATACCCTCAATTTTTACTGAACCGTTCGTAAATAAGTTACGCAACTACTCATATGGCTGACGTCAGCAGGGTCCTTCCTAGACTTCATTCCTAATTTCCCTACACCTTGGCTAAAACTCCAAGTCCTGAATCCGTGTCCACCATACAACAGTATAACTCAAATAGACTATAATAGTTCCCATTTATTTTCCATTATTCCCTATATAACCCCAATATATAGCCTATAATCCTTTTAAAAGCCTTATATAATCCTCATAATTCCTATAGTTTTCATTTCATTTTCCGTTATTCCCTATCTAACCCCAATATAACCACCCCCATATTGGTAAAGTGAGCGCATCTGGGATAGTGCCAGGTTTCCTGCAGCCGAACAAGAATCCTTGAGGCATGACTATTTTGTGGTTATTTCCAATATAGGGATGGTTATATTGGGGGTTATATAGGGAATAATAGAAAACAACATGGAAACTACTATAGTGCTGTTTTGGGGTTATATAGTTAGGGAATAATGGAAATGAAATCGGAATTACTTTAGTCTATTGCGATTATTATTGTGTATGGTGGACATGGGAGATGTCGCTTAGATGCTCTCTAGGATCTTCGGGCAAGAGGCTAACTGTACTGGTCGCTGCTAAGGCAAGGCTGCAAGTTTGAGAGGTATTCGGGCTTTCAAAGCCATCGTCATCTTTACTTAGATATCCTCTAGGTTGGGACGTCTTTGTTGTGATTGGGAAGCCGGAGCGCATGGTAGAAGAGGTGTGTGTGTGTGTGAGGTTGCGAGATCCAACTCTGGAAGGCGAATTTTATGACTTTTCTGACGTGGTTGCAATTCCGAGTTTCTCGGTTGCGTGCCCGAAAGCTTGATTACTGACCTGTGAAGCTGCTAGGAAGTTTAGCGCTTAAATCTGCAGATCTGTTTTACGGTGAGTGCTAATGCTGAGGTATATCCACGGGCCCACTTGTTGTGAGGCAGATCCACCCCCACGGGCAGCCCCTCATATTTTGAACTCGCAGGCTTTCAAGTAGCTCTAGCTGGGAAACTCTGTTGACTGTAATATAGGTGTGCTGTAGTGACGACTAGGGATTCTTGGCTTAAGGCCGTTGCGGCAGGTCACTCATCTGAAGACTTGAGGTCCAGTTGAAGTGAGACTGCAAGACTGCATGTCATGCATGTCAAGGGGTTTCCCAAAACTGAGGTTGCCATGTCTCATATTCCATGCGTCCTACTAGATAAGCACCTCAAGTTTTGGGACTCACCCCAGTAAATTAGGTCACTAGGCACAATGCTTAGAACCCTGGCATTTTTGTCATTGATTTTGTCAAGACTTTCTGGTCTCTGGTAGCCCAGAGGGTCTGCATAGGCGGGGCGATGGTGGGCGGGCATTTTCCTTGATTCTATCAAGATCAACCCTCTTAGGCTTTGCGTTTGCAATGCGGCTGGCTCACCAACGTCTCTTTAGTTTCCTTTTGAGCAGCCCTACGGCTCCACACACTGCACGCTTCGAAGGCACAGTGCGGAGTATGAATCTGCTTAAACGCGCTACTTTAGAAACTACAGAAGCGCGGAATTCGATGCGCGGAGTTGCAAATTCTGCAGCTCCGGCGAATGAAGTCCTGCCATGATACATTTCGAACGTAACCTTGTTGCGGGGAGAGCAGGACAGAAATTGATTACAGGGCCATCTCCCTTTGCGCGTGCATTCGCCGTCATTCTGGTATTTATGATGATAAGGGATGGGGTTACCACAAGAGGGCATTCTCGCCAGCATGGAAGGCAACGAGACTAACCGTGGATTGTCCTTTCTTCATCCTCCTGTGCATGTGGGTGGCTTCAGGTTTGGACCCCATGTTGATCCTGGAGAGCTTGAAGTCTGAACCATTTGGCTTCAGAAGTCTAGGCTTTTCCTTGGTATGGTTTTTGACACGCTTGTTACTTGTATGTATAAGGAGCCATATAGCGATGCTGCATCTTGGCAATGCCTTTTGATAATCCTCCATTCTACTTTCGGCAGTTGCTGAGGCTCTGTGTGCTGCCTATTCCAGTCGGCGTCGAATCACACGCGTTAGTCAATATTCATGTGCTTCTTCGAACAATGTGGACCATTTGGGTGTCCTTCATATGAGGACCAATAATGCTTTAACGGACTACCCATTTCATGCAAATTGACATCAAGGCAGTAGCGCTATGCAACAGCCCTGAAGCCTGTTGGTCGCCTCCCTCCAAATCCAACCTCCCTCCCCATGGCACCGTTCTTTGGTGGGGTTTTGACTTGTTGGCGGAGGGCATCTTGTTATGTCGGAGTTGGAATGTAGACCTCGACCAGGTCGACCAGAATCTGGTGACGCTTTGTTGGCTCTCATGTTTGTAGAAGATGAGGGAAGGGGCTTGGGAGGTTAACTACACTGAGATCAGGCCACAACACAAATTCGAGCCAAGACTCAATACCGCCTAATCCCTAAGCCCCAAACCCTGGTTCAGGGGCTTCCCCAGACGCCTGGGAGGATCTAGAAAGTAGAACCCCCATTATGGTATATTGGGTAATTTCTAGGAGCCCATGGGTCTGTGCCGGCAGACAGGGCCAGGTACCTGAATTTCTTGTGCAGGTCCTGCAAGTCTGCGATGAGTTGGGCATCGAGACGGCACCAGCTGAGGTGGGTGGGTGGGGGGGCGAACATGTGATTGGATTTATCTTCGGAACGGACAGCAGGCTCAACTCAACCCTGCCATTTTCTGTCAACTGACGAGCGGATAGAACTCCTGCCGACACACGCGGCTACATGCGGCTAAGATTTAAGAGTTGAAAACATGCTTAACGCCAGTGCGCGAAAGGAATGAGCAGCTCGTGAAACGAAGCCATATCCAAGTCAGTCTGGGCTGCGCCTCACTATGGACAGGGACAGATCGTTGGCAGTCAGATCCGAACTAGCAGAGAGTGTGGAGGCTTGACGGGCAGTCTCAATCCATATCCATGTCCATCTACCTCTCTCTCTCTCTCTCTCCCACTCTCTTGGGGCTTGTGGCTAATGATCCTTGACTCAGGTTGCAGCCGGCATGTTCATCGTGCCTATGCAGTCCTGGTGCCCTACCAGCCCCATGCCATGCAGTTTGTGTACGTAGGTTGTGTGCACCAGGTGTGGCATGTCGGCAACATTGCATTAGAGGTACTCCCGCGACTTCATCTCCAAGACTTTGCGACAACAGCACGCGTCTGCGACTGATGCAGATGCCAAGGCAACGCTGGCTTGGGGGTTTCGGGTGTGCTTGCGCCACATTCTGCCGCGGTGGCAGGTGACCATTGACCAATGGATACAGTGGCCCTTTTCCTGTGGGTCTGATGACGCCTGGAAGTTCTTCATGAGGAGACTGCGGTGCACGGCTATAGCTTGACTGTCCGCAAGCATGAGTCTAGACAGACAAGCTCGAAGAGCCTGAAAAATCCAAGCCCCCCCCAAACCTTTGCCAGCGATTCAGCAGTCCAAGTGAGCTACTGTCTAAACTCCTAGTATCCCCATTAATAACCCCTATAATAGTCCCCTATATAACCCCCTATATAAGCCCCTTTAAGGAGTTTAGATTATGGTACAAGTCAATCCCCTTGCGTTCCTCTGCGCCGCGCCCCGCCCCCAGGATGAATGAAGCCGCGCTGAGGGCAACGCTCGTAGCGAAGACAGCCTTCGAGCGTTGGGGGCATAGATAGCATCCGTTGAGTTCTTGGAGGGCTTGGATCTTCATAATACCATAATATACCATGATATACCATAATATACTATATACTACAACATTCCTATAATATTCCCAAGAGACCACAAGGCTAATCTCACGCCGAACCCTATGCGGGGGTTTCCACAGTCAGAGGGTTCCCAATACGTAGAGGGGTCTAGGGTTTAGGATTTAGGGTTTGGAGATTTAGGGTTCAGAGGTTTAGGTTTAGGACCCTCCCAATACCCAGGAGTCCCCCGAATATAGAACAGAGTATATGGGTTTATGTAGTAGTTTCCCAAAATGGGGGGTCCCAATATAGATCCCCAAATACTTTTCTCGTTATTATAGGGGCCCCCCAAAAAGGTACGCCTAATTTTGGCAAGCTCCCATGTGAGGGGTACCACGGTGCCTTGAAAACTGCTAACTCGCTTCACAAAGCAAACGAGAGGATGCCCGGTTCGCCCAAGGTTTCTGCGATCAGCCGGCGCAGGTCCTTACCATGCACGAGCCTCAAATTAGTAGTATTCTATGATAAAAATACTATGGTACCCAATATAGAGTATGATTATATCCTCTTTTGGGGGTATAGTATTTTATATAAGGAATGTAACCTTACTAGGTTCAACCACCAAAAAAATCACTACTCAAATGGGTTGAGGGTTTAGGTGTTTGGGTTTGACAGGTTTGATGCTTTGGGTTTTGAGGTCTCTAGCGCCTGGGTTTGGGGTGTGGGGATGTATGAAAATTTTGGGAGTTGAGCTAAGGGGTAAGCTCCTGCAGCCTACCACTGCTTGCTTGGGAATGTGGGAAGGAGCTATGGGGTTGATTCTGGTGTTCCCCTAACCCTAACCCCAAACCCTAAACACTTCCATCCCCCGCCCCCTGGCGCATGCCCAGCTGAGTATTAGCAAGGTCAGGATTCTGATGCAGCATTACTTTTCCTAAGCCCTAAACCCTTTTTGGGGGTCCCCATCAGAAGGATTATAGTAGTTGGGGGTCTGTAGTATGGTCCCCGTATTTTGGGAAACTACCACATGGGTGTTTTTGGCAAACCACCCCGAAGCCCCAAGATTTACGAGGATCAGAGACTCCTTGTGTGGGCTAGCAAGTTTAGACTTGTGTGCTTGTTTTCTCCAGTTTGCAGCATGTTTGAGTCCCTAAACCCTGAACCCTATAAACCCTAAACCCTAAGCCCTAAATCCTAAATCCTAAACCCCTAAGCCCTAAACCCTAAGCCCTAAACACTAAAGGTCCGAGAAAAACAACCCTAAGCCCTAAACTGAACAGCTGGTACTCTTTTGGGCTCAGTCTGTCCAGTAGATGGGTGGTTGTCAAAAAGGATTATATTGGGGTTATCTGGGGGATGCTGGAAAAGAAAATGGAAACTACTATAATGGGTTATATGGGTGGCTGTCAAAATTATCATCCCTTTTTGGGTACTCTAAATATTAGGTGCCGTATTACAATAGGGATCCACAAAGGGACCATAATATTGACAACCACCCATGGGACCTAGAGGGGCCTTCAGACGGGTTGTTGGGAAGAAGTAGGTAGCCGTTTCAGTAAATGACCTCAGGACGCACTTCCTCACCAGACCTGAGCTGAAATTCGTGCGGAGCTCATGTGAATTTACAAATCTGATTCTATCCGTTCTCCAGTGATTCCCCACACCGTGCACAATTTGATGCACCTTTCTTTCCTTTCTACTGCAGAGGACTGGACCATTCCGGGAATTTGGGACCACATCGGCTGCGAGGGACTGGACGAGCAGGCAAACTCTCAATTTGGAGACGAAGTCGCTGCATAGCAATCACCATCAATACTTGTATGAGAGAGCTAGCTAATGTCACCGCCATGTGAGATTCGAACGATTGGATCCGACGTCCACGTCTATGGCGTGCGCCTCAAGACCTTTCGAGACTGAAGCGTTTTTTTCAGCAAGCTTTTCCACCTTGCCAGTGCATTGCCCCTCTTTGCGCTCCTTGTGGGGATTCTCGCATTCTGGTTGCATAGCATGGGGACCCTTGTGGCTCTGTGGGTCCTGAGGCCGCGCATGCACTGGGCCGCAGGCGAGGCTGTTGCTTCGGCGGACATGGGCTTACTGTTGTTACTAAGCTCTGCACCGACTTTGCGACTGTGATTTCTCAAGCATGAGGTTCTCAAATTCGTAGGCTCGATGTTGGGCTTCCTTGCAGCGGCGACCACATTATTAGAGGCATACGCTACTAGTATGATGTATGATGGACCTTGATTTTGATATTCACCCATGTTCGCAGCCCTAGCCCTTTGTTCGTTACAGGTCACGGAGATCGAGGGCCAGCGCCCCAGTTCCGAGAAAGTGTGCCCATTTCCTGCTACAGACAAAGTTCTTCCTCCCTATCAGCCACCCTGAGCACAAAACTCTAAAACCTAAACCAGTGGATGTCAACTTGCCATGCACTCCGGTTGCCTGCCGATGGATACCGGCCAGGACTCCGGCAACTGCCCAAGCTCGCCAGAAGGATTCCAGAAGAGACCCTTCCACACAAATATCACTCGTCTGAGCTATGGATCCCAAAGCCCTCAACTCTGAATACTGTGCAAGATCCTGCGAGAAGGTCCAAACGTGGCTAAGGCGTGAGCTATGTCCACAACTACATCGGTTCCACGGAGAAGCTCTGGACTTGGCACTGCTTTCTTGGAGGTATCCCAAAACTATGCGGCCCTCAAGTTCCCGATATGCCGAAACCTGGTTGTCTTACTGGGGGCTAGTAGGGAACAAGGGAATATATTCCCACATACTACTCCCAATAATGTATTCCCTTGTTCTCCACTAAACCTAAACCCTGGACCTTTATTCCCTTCCAACCCCCAGCAAGTTGTGGCTGAGGCACCGCCCAGGCATGGCGCCATTCTGCATCTTCGACCGTGGGGAGGCCACTCAACGTGAGGGCATTCTCGCTGAGGGGTTCTTGAAATCCTGCGAGCGTTTTTGGGGGGTTTGTAGGAAATAAGGGAATAAGCTCTATCCGAATTAGACAGGGTCCCTACTAACAACCAGTAAGTTTTTGGGATCATTGGGGCTGCAGACCGGAAGTATGTGGAGTTGTGAAGGCGCCAGCGCCAGAGACCTCAACTCAGCAACATTGATCTCCCCACCGACTATGAGTGTCATCCCCCCAAGATCTGCAAAGTTGTAGCAGGAAAAATCCCCGAATCTTACATTAAGCACCCTGAGCCATCCGGGCGATTTTTGCACTTGGCTACGAAACCCTTAAACCCTAAACCCTCGCTCTGCCTGCAGATTCTTCCCTCCACGCAGCCATCGCAAGCCAACGGCTTTAACTTCCAACCCACCGCGCGGCCCAAGGAGCACGCGTTTACCGAGGGAATTGCAAGTTACCAATTAAGGGCTAGTGGGGATGCAACACAGGTGTTCCTATAGGGATCATCAATTTAAGGAGACGTGTTTTTTGTGATCCGAGGGCGCGCACGGTCCTATTTGTAGTAGTTGAGACTGAGGGCTTTCGCGTTCTTAAGAGGAGACGTAGTCCGGAGGCCCTTACCGATTTTGCAATACTCAGCTTGCGTTCTTGCGATCCTTCAGCGAATACGGTGAGATCTTTATCAGACATTTGCTTCATATCGTCCAGCTGTTACGAGTGGAGGGCTTTGCAGTCACATACGGTCCAGGATCCATATCACCAAGGTGCAGAAAGCACTGACATTGCAAGCATCGGCGGTAGATCAAGAATGATGGCGAGGCCCATGCGCGAGTTGCTCCCAGTGCTCAGGCCTTGTCTTGTTGTTGCGCCATGTGAGGATGCTCAATGTGAGGATGCCGGGGGACAGGGCTGGGTTGCCTCAGACTGCAAGGACCCTGGGCCGACAAGACCTTTCGGAGGAGGCTGAGGATAAGCAAAGGCGCGGCATGCAGTGCTACTGTAATTACGCTGTATAAGGTTATCCCCACTCCTTCCGTCCTTGCTAGCCAAAGACCAGATTGGTGACCAACGGTCATGTCGACGCGAGGCAACTGACCATGCCAGCGACGGCTGCGGGAGTGTGTGACGAAGCTGCCAGGACCTGACACATTGTACAAAAATCTTTGGGGTTTCCCCAAACAGGGACACCTTGATTGGCTTTAGACATTGGATGTACGGACAGATATTCTGCATGTGCACTCCCATTTGCCAACATTTTCTGCTTTGGAACGTGGGTCTTAGCTTCAAATATCCCAAAGCCCTGAGCCTCAGTTCTCACCTCTAGCCCTGAACCCGCCAGCTCACAAAGTCGGTATGGATGTCATCTCAATTGGGATGATAGGGATTGCACCAGTTCACTAACAATCAACCGAATCTATCAGGTTCCGTTCCAAAAAGAAGTCTAAATCCATCAAAGTCAATTCGAACAGATACAGAAATTTTGGGATCCTGGATTCCTGGGTTCTCCAGCTGCTTCCCGTCCATCAAGCTGGTTCTGGTCCATATAGATCCTTGGCTAAATTTACTGAGACCAGATACGTGAAACCCTCATTCATTCTTATGAATTATTGGAGCGGAACCCTAAAGCCTAAACCCTAAACCCTTGATTCCTTGTTTTTGAGCTGGTTCCGGTCCACATAGTATCATGAGGACGGACGCTTGATTGGAAGGGGTACCTAAATCCTGGAATCCAGGCTTCCAGTTTTCGTGCTGGTTCCGGTCCATATAAGTCGAACAGATACTCGAATCCTCGAATCCCGGATTCCTGTGCGATTTTCAATGGTTTTCTTGGGGCAGTGAAGCATGTCAGCACTTTTTTTAGGGGTAGGATGCAAATAGATGTAGGCAAACGGGGGGCACCATAGATGTTTATATACATACTGTATGTTGCAGTATTATGTATATACATATTCATGTCACATGCATGTATTATTGGCAGTCGAAGAGGATGACAGCAGACCCGATGCAGGGGACTATTCCACTCCCAGTTCTTATTCGTAGCGCATTGGACCTTGTGCTGTCCTTTGCAAGCCAGTCCTTCGCAAGACACTGGACGGCTTTTAATTAGATTATGCAATGGACGCTGGTCATTGAAATGCTCCCTTCCGCTTTGAAGAGCAACATTGAACGAAAGCGCCTGAAAGCAGGAGGCGTGCTTTCAGGTGGGCACCATGATGCACTATGTTGTACCATGTAGATCATGCGGATTCATACATAGAAGCCCCGGAGAACCAGAACATTCCGACCTCCACCAGGACCTCTCTGGCAGGCTTCTGAGAGCTCGCAGCCGCAACTGGCGTTTATGCAGGAAGGAAGTCCCATGAGTCTGATGTTGCTGAAGTAAGCAAGCATTGATGCTATAGTCCCCCTTAAGTAGATAGAATATGGCTTTGGGTATATTACAGTAGGAACCCCACATACCCCATATTCTATCTACTTGAGGGGGACTACAAATCCATAGAGCCGGGAGCTTTGTTAAGGCGGAGATAAGGATTTTGGGTTTTGTGCAACCGTTTGGGAGGTCCAACTCGTTCGCCGCATCTGTAACTGATTGGAGGGTCCATTTCCCAGTAGCAGATATCTCTTCATCGTAGGTGTCGTGCCATCATGCAGTCACCCACTAAATATACTACTACAGTCGAGTCTGGTACCCCTGTATCCCGTAGGAAGAGGCACCTGGCTTCTCCCTGGTAGCCCCAAAGATCTCAGAGGGAGCTTGGCAGAATGGAAAGCCATGCACCTCCCTAATTACTGCTCTGCCATCAAAGGCAAGGCAAGCCTGCCCCACTGCCATTTTCCATACCGGTTGCGGTGCGGTAGGTGGGCCGGAGCCTGACCCATCCGTTCTGAGATGAAAAGTTGCTCGGAGTTCGCTGCGGTGTAATGCGCTGCAACCACCAGTTAGGAACCCAAGTGCCTGCCTGTTCAAGTCTGGCCAAAGATTTCAAGGGGCGAACAGCTCTTGAGGCCTCTACGAGTGGTGGACTTGCGGGTCCTACAACTTGCAAGGGACAGCTGTGTTCGCATGACGATGAGGGTAATGATCAGAAAACGGTGAGCGTGGTTGGTCATCAGAAGACGCGTGGTCAGTGTGATACGGAAGGGTCGTACTTGTAGAACAGTGTCGGGCCAAGCAAGGGTTACATTTCTTCAAAATTGCCTGGGCTGGGTGGCCTTGCGAGCGTTGCGTGACGCTTTTCACCCAAACCAGTGGGTGCTGGCAAGAAGAGGTGCATTTGGCAACATGTTTGGGAAGGGCCGGGGCCCGGCTGCCGAAACTCCGGAAACGTAGCAGCGTAACATAAAACAAGACGGAGCAAGCAAGGATGGGATTTGGAATGGATTGTGTTGGGTGGGGTAGGAAACCATAAAAAACCCAAGATTGTCATGGAGGATGCACGCATTGAGTCATCGCCTGTGCTCAGTGTGATCTTGCTGATGGCTGCCCACATGACAGCAGTTCGAGCACCCTCAGTGTCGTGCCTTGCGCTGCCGTTTTGTTTCAGAAGGGAAGAGAAGTGATGTGAACACATGCATGACATCATTCATGGGCTACATCCCCCAACCCCCGAAAACCTGGTTTCTCATGACCCGGCCACTCCTCCGCCACTTGCCGCTGGCATTTGGCTACTGGGTCCTCAAGCTGGGGTCTCAGCTCAACTTTGTACTGGGAGGCGTACATATCTTTTCCATTTCTGGTGATGGTTCTGGACTGGGAATCGTAGGCTGCAAGTGAGGCTGCTGTTTCTGAATCATGCTCAAAATTATGGCCCGTTGCATTTGCCAACGATAGCACGGCTCATCATGTCTGGGGGGTTTCAAAGGAGACGCTGAGGGTCTGAATCATCCCCTTAACTTTGGACTGCGGCCCCCGAAATCCTCCCCGAAACCCTGAACCATAAACTCGAAACCCTACACCCTACCCTTGACCCTTTAAGACCAGTCCGCCAAGTTCAGTGAGCTGCTCTCACCATCACCGCTGTATGGGGTTTAAGGTTCAGGGTTTGTTCCAACCCAACAACTAACAACCATATGGTAGACTTGGGTTATAAGCACCTGTATAAGCAGGTCAGAAGTACTCGGGGACCTCACAGCAACCACGCAAGCAATTCATTCCCTCCATTACCTCCTACCGAGGAGCTTTGAGCTCTTAACCCTAAGTCCAAACACAAGGCAAGCAAGCAATCTCCGCGGTTAAGCGTTTAGGGTTTAGGGTAAAGGCCGGGTAGTGCTGTGTCACCATTCAGGGTCTTTCATCCCCAACTACCAAAAAGCCCTTCCCGTTTCAGGACTCCTCAGTAAGTGCTCTTTGATTCTTTCCGAGGGGATGTCCTGGGTGTTTCTGCAGCCGCACTATGATGATGGCGGGTTGGCATCAAGAGTTGGCACTACTCAGATGCCGTTTATTAACGTGCATCCCGTGAAGTGCAGCAGTGAAATGACAACAATAAACAAGAACCCTTTAACTTATACGGAATTAGACTCAGGTCAATTGTCATAACAAACGAAACAACAAACTAGTTGTTGTAGTATTTTTGCCGCAAGCAAGTAACAACCAATATGCGGAATACTGATGTCAAGAATTAGTATCATCATTGTCGTAACTGCTGAACCTGCAAGATTCCGCTGGCCCAGACTTGTACCTGTGGTCATTCCCCCTCACAGCAACTGTCCTTAATGAGGCTGTTGTTAAGGGGCTATTATACCTCCTAGTACCTTCTGTGATGATTGTTACTGTAGGAATCGCCTTGCCTGCGGCCTACTAAATCCTAAGCCCAAATCCTACACTGGCCACCCTAAACACTAAATGCTAGACACGAAGCCCAGAATCCTACAAGCTACACTCTAACCCCTTGAATCCTAAACCTTGAATCCGCGCCGTTAAGCCCCAAATCACTTAAGAAATGCGTATCGTAGATTTTCTTTGCTTAAGGCCGAAGAAGCGGTAGGTGGAGACTTCCCAAACAAAGTCTCCCCGCTGCAGTTCGGCTCCTACCCAATAATAGTGGTACACTAACTTTGGGTTTTGGGTGTATGGCTTAGGAATCTTTTGGGACCCTGATCCTCTCTCCATTACCTCAACCTAGTCTGCAAGCAATGATTTGACATGGGGCATCAGACATTACAGGGGATGTGTTAGTTTGCAAAGAAAAGGTTGACCCCAATGCAGGCCCTTGTTATGGAGACCCCCTGCAGAGGCATCTGTTTGGTTCCGCCAAGCCAAGGCAGCGGGGCCGAATGCTCATGCATGCTGCCTTTTTTGGCCCTTCACTTTCAACATGTCTCATGTAGACTTTTGCTCACACGGAGGTTGTTGTGTTTTGAGAAGTCTGGGCGCATTTTTAGATGGCCGCACTGGTGAGTTCCAGTTCAGGAAAGGATGATCTGAGAAAGACATGCGGGGAGAGCATCTGTTCGTCGAATGCTTGACAACACCAGCCAAAGTGTCATCAGCGGCCTGACACACTTGTAGCAGTCCTATCCTATCATCTCTTCGTTTCTTTTGCTGTTTTGAGGGTGGTCACCTCCAGTGACCTAATTTGCTATCCGCATGTGAACTATTGTCTTACCCCCCTACAGGGCGGTTATATGGGCCTTCGGCGTGGCTTAGCGCAAAAGATTCAGGGTCTGCGGGCCGGACATCTATGGCCGTTCATGGAGATTCTTATTTATTGGGGCTTTGCAAGCATTTGTCACGATTTATGGGGCTTACAAGGGCTGACAGGCATTGTATCAAGAGGTTTTTGAGTTTCGGATTCAGGGTTCAGAGGTAAGCTGACTTTTTGGGAAGTCGTGGGTGTACGTAGATGGAAGTCCTTTGGCGGATGTAGGCAACCCTATGGGATTGTACCGGGAACGATGCCAAAACCTCAAACCCTGGTACCCCACCCAAAGCTTAAAACCTCGAGTTTTCGCCCAAGCCCTCAAGCCTTCAATCCTGAATATCCAAGCCTTCAATCAGAAGGGAAGGCATATGCTATGCCAATTGCTTTTCCAGGAGAGACCTGGTGCCTTGGACGCCCGCCCCGGCCTCAAGCGTGAGGCAGAAGCAAGTTATGGCCTATAGTGGCCATTTTGAAACATAGGGCTGACGGATATCAGGGCTGGAGGGCCTCTAAATCGTCCGAGGTCTTGAGTTTTGTATCATGGCCCTGCAAAAATCAAAAGTTTGTTTTGGGGGTCTGTAAGGGGTTTCCCTGGTGGGAGGAAACACTCGCATCATTGAGGTGCGCAAGCAAGCAAGTATGCTACATGCCCGTCTGGCTTTTAATTTCCGATCCGGAATTTTAGCCTGTAGCTACGTGGATCCAAGAGCTTCTTCCAGGCAGGCAATCTGGGCAAGAAATTGCATAGCGGTTCCTGATTGCTAGGTTCTTGGCGCTTCACTCGCCAAGCCATATAGCTGGTCAAGTAGCAGCTCACGTTTGCAGAGAAGCAACATGCCTACATTTGTGCAGACTTTTCCGCATTAGGGCTTTGGGCTATATATGTTATCAAGCTTCGACCGACAGTAATACAGGTTAGTACTTACATGGATTTGGACTGCTGGGGTGCATATGACCATATTTGTACATAAGCCTGAGAAATTTCAGCTTCAAAATTCAAAATACACAACCCTCTGGTGGGATTTTTTCAGGCTCGGGCAGTATGCCGAGCCTAGGACATCTGAAGCCTCAAGCTCTGAAGCCTGAATGTTGTGATGCTTGCTGAGGAAACAGACGGCCGCGACTTGGCTGGGCTCGAGGACACAGAGCGAGGGTACGCAAGGCATCACGGCAAATTTAACCCATTCGAGCTGAAGCTTCTTGATTGATTCGCACTTTACTCTCTTCTCATGCACTTATATGGACTGGATGGGCTGTATACAAAGATTCAAGGGCTTTGTGGGTTCACGGGCTGGACATTCATGGCAGTTCATGGAGATTCCAGCTTTCTTAGGGCTTTGCAGGCATTTTTCAGGATTTATGGGGTTGATAGGGGTTGGTAGGCATTGTATTTCTCTCATCCCCAGACCAAACACAAATGGAATTGTTTGAGTCCTTGCCCAAAAGGCACACTGGTGTTTGCCGGGCCTTTTTGTGGGTTGCATGTTTGCTTGGACCGTACTCCGGTTTTTCAGTCATAGCCACTTGAAGAGAACAATTGCCTGGTGCTCAAGCAGTGGATCCAGAGTTGTTTGCTGAAGTTCCAGGCATTGGCATTGAGGGTTCGAGGAAATCGAGCATCTCGAGGGGCTTGCGTTTAGCTGCATGATCGTTTCCCTGTGTCGAACTTGCTTTTTTGCACTGCAATGGAGAACTAATGACTAAACACAAACACCACCAGTACAGAATACCTTAGGGTGCCGATTCGACGGTGAACCCTTCCCCTTCAGTTCTCCCCCCGAAACGACTACCCCAGCAGACACAACATGACGCTCCAACAACAACGAAATGTTTTCTGAAGGCAGACGGTGCAGATTGGCAAGCACGCGCGGCCGCTCCTTTGAGGCAAAGAGGAAAAGCAACTAACCCAAAACTTCATGGCATTTCTTCGACCAGGGGCTTCCAGAGAACGGCAGTATGTTGAGCTGTGGGGGGGGTTCATTGTATGTCAGATCAATGCGGCCAACTTCTGGACTCAGAAATCTTCGAGGGCAAGGTCTACTAAACCCAGCTGCCTTCAGCCTCCTAAACAACAAGCACTTCAACCTGGCTTTGAGCATTGCAGCATCGAGCCCGAAGGGCACCTTGACCCTCAATCAAGCAGCGGAAGCTTCCGTACCCGACCATAGGCCAGACAACCCGCATCCAAACACCCTAGGAAGGAAGACGCTCAAGCTGATTTCAGAACTTGTAGCCCCATCGTGACCATCGTGGTCCACACTTGGGCTCGAGTGAAAATCCCATGGCCACTCTGCCTATCGTATTCTAAACCTTATCATTATTTTTTAATGGTTATCGTTTTACAGGGGAACTGTCTAATACTTCTGGAATTGTAAACCTTNNNACAAGGGAAGCAGCAAATAGGACCGTTCTTGTATAAATTCTGACAAGGGGATTTTTACCCAAACCCACTTGGGTGTTGCAATGTACCTGTCTAGCTGACGCCTCGAGACTGAATCGTAAGCCCCAAATCCACACGCAGGAATATATTGTTGGTGACCACCTAGGATCCCTAAACTAGTTTAGCTGCAAGGTTTTAGGGTTGCAGAGTTCTTCTATCAACGGATGAGGGAGGAAATCTTGCATCATGCAGGGTCCCTCATACACCGTAGTTCCCAACATGTCAGTCTAGTTTTTCCATCTGTGGTGGAATCCATTCACTCATTCTACGGCCCAGGTGTGGCACCCCAACACCGTTCGACATGGACTGGGCCGCAATTTTCCGTAGACTGTAGGGGCTGAGGTGGCGTGAAACTATGGCTGGCTTTTGAGGACTTTCGGAGAATCAATGCTCGCAGTTTTCTGCAAGAAGTCTTTTTTGCATCTCTTCGTTATGATTTTTCCAAAGCTCCCAGGTTCCCGCATGGGTACAACGACGAAGCTTTGTCCTGCTGCAAGGGATTTCAAGTTAGGCTACCATCTACATCTGGCAACCCTCTAGTAAACCTTTGCAAGTAGACTGGACCCACAAAACAGATCCGTGCAGCCCATTTTGCATCATCATCATCATCATCATCATCATCATCATCGTGAGTTGGAAGAAGGCGGGGGTATAGATTCGTTCTGCCCAGGCCTAGGACTAAGCTCTCAACTACGAAGCGGTACCCAAAGCCTTTCATCAGGAACCAGTCCAAGATCAGACGCCCCGACGCCCCAAGTCAGCGTGCATGACTGCAAAGCGAAGCTTTGAAGAAGCATCCTAGCTGCACGGTGTTATGAACCTGAAGTATCAACCTCATCTCTTCATAACTTGTAATACAACCAACCAACGCCCCTGTTCTACTCATCTAGGACCCTGCAACATGAGTAGTTTCCATTGTGTAGATCAAGGCGTTTGTTTGGTACTGTGAATAGGGCCGGTTGATAGGGGTACCGACACTCGGAATCTCTTTATCTACCCCATGCATGATGGCAAGCTCCCTCTTGTAGGGGCCTGAAAAAGGGACTCAACGCCCATACATCTCAAGCTGAAAGAAGAGTTTCAGTATGCAGGGATGTTGATTGAGGACCGTTTCCAATTGTTTCCAAGCTCATATCAGCATGCAGAGTGGCACAATGATTGCTATGAAGGGTGCTTGTTATCATTAGCAATCGTTGACCCAATAACGTAGGTTAGTTTGGGCATGTTTAGTCGTGCAATCACTGCGATTCTTGCTGCAACTTTGTCCGATGAGGGTTTCCCTTGATTGCAGGACTACTACAGCACGGTATTGGACAAGGACAGCATCCCCGCCAACAAGAGAGAAGAGGCCTCCTGCAGATTCGTCTTGCTTCTCTTGCAGGCTTCTTAGGCAATCCACTGACGGTAGACATTGCATCCTAAGAAGGTTTCGTACGGCCTACAAACAAAGCGGTTGCGGCGTCCATGATCCTTCCCGTCTGCCGGCACAAGCCCTCAAACTGCTTGTGCAGCTTCAACAACTACGCCTTCAATGGCAAAAGGTCTACAGGCCATACTTGAATATCAACTAGGAACATCAACCAGGAATTCATGGACCTGAAGGACTTGCAATTGAGTCTGACTGCTGAGCTTTGTCTCTTTTTGTCGAAGCCACCTGGGAAATTTTCAGGATCCAGGGAGGAATGACATCCTCACTGCCAGCTCGGGCGGGACAGGAACGTTCTGTCACTTTGTCCAGGTTGATGCATACCACTACAGATCCTTGATACCTTGTTTTTCTCTAAGTTCGATGTGTAGGGATTTGTCGGCTTGGAGAACAAACGTGAATGTTCAAGCTGTTGTCGTCACCTCCACATGGAAGGCGTTCACTTGCAGGAACTCCAGGAACCCTAAACCATCTACACTGAACACCATTCTTACATCCGTCTTCACCGCTCCCCTTCTTGATCCTAGGGCCCTGTCGGCACCTTCGGAATGCCTAGCGAAGATCGTACAGGGTAATCTTGAGTACCGATCATGGGGCCACAAGGAGACTGAAAGGGTCCTTCAAAACAACGCGCCCCCGCCCCCTCAAAGTCCCTGAAGCCGAACCACCCCTCCCCCTGAATCCCAAGTACCTTCATAGAATCAACCCCAACACCCTGCCTCATGTTAACTGGCAGAGGCGGACGAGATCGCCCGTCAGATCGAACAAGGGATACAGCACTCGGAGGTGTGTCAACGGTGGGACATTGGGCTTTTGATTTGGGGTTTAAGGTTCAGAGTGTGGGTTCCTGTTTTTTTCGGATTAGGCTTTCAAGTTTGTGGCGGTCTAAGGTTCATTGGACAAGGCTTTGGCATCAGAGGTTTCAGGACAATGTAGGGATTCTGCGCAAGTGCCTGTTCGCAAGTGATGTGGAGGGATGAGCTATAGACAGCTACAGAAGGGGTACGAGTGTAAGCATCATGCACATGCAGCATTAAGCGTCTCAATCAAGGAAGATCCCCGCATACTTTGAAGATTCAATCAGCGCTAATACTGCTACATTCGAAGAGCCCGCAAGAAGTTTGACTTCTGGGATTCCGAAGCCCCGAATCATCCAATTTGGGGAGCTTCAGTCCTGCAGGCCTCTCTGGTTGTCCGGGTTTGAGGCACTTGCTGAGTACATTTTTTAAATTCTGAGGCCTAGCAAACTCTCAAGGTTTTAAATTTCAGCCTCCAGACCTCACGCCGGTGAACCCTAAACCTTCGAACTGGCTTGAAAGGAGTTTGCAAACATGAAGACTCCGTTTGAGGTGCGTTTTCAAGGGAATTTTCACAATTTAGATGTACCTGTTGCGACTGGAGCTAGCCAAACCTTCGTTCTTGCCTGGCTTCAGGTCGAAGGCGACATCGACTACGACGAGGAGGTTCATATCAGAGATTCCTGCCAGAATCGCCTTGTTTACCCTGTGTCCACCAGCTTATTGCAAGCCCTCTAGAGTCCGTCGCCATACCAATCCATACCAGCTATGCTTACGAGAGGTATTCAGGGTGGTTCCGCGCGCAGCTTTGTGTCGCTTGAAGCGTTTGCCCTCAGAGGTTCTATGTTTGTTAACTATCTGGGGTTTCCTCCAGAAATTAGGGCCACACAAAAGGGATTCTTGTATTTTGCTGGAAATACCATACTGCGCTCAAGTGGCCTTCCTTCCCGAAATATCGCAATTCAGAAGCTCTAACGTTTACTCTCGATGTTCGCCCAGGGTTCCCATGAAGATGTCAGGTCCTTGCATTGGATTTATGAGTAGCTTGTCTGCGTTTTGACGCCTGCGGCCTTGAAGTTGCTGGACACTTGGTCTTGTGGATTAAGAGGGGTCGTGTAAAACGGACGACCGTTTTGGCATCTCTGAAGCCCGGAATTCTTGGCATGCAGAGATGGTTAGGTAATCGCTGACCTGGGAAGGGCATCATGATGGGGTAGATGGGCAGACGATCAAAAGACTCAACTTCATAAGGCATTCGCACCCTTGCTTCGCACACTACGTGCGTGCAAATGTTAGCAAACTGGAGGAGTGGCACGGGCATCTGAGGGCAGCCCATGTACAAGCCTGGGTAGTTAGGACAGTTGTTACAATAAAGCTCCTTGTGTTATTGTATATCTATGTACATATGTATGTACAGGGTCTAGGTCCACAGCCCAAACCTTATTCTAATATGTGGCTCCTACATACTACAGCTCATGTCCCGGGTCCCCACCCCAGTTCATGTTGATTTTCTGGCACTCTGTAAGCAGTTCGCGCGTGAAAGCTTAGAGAATACAAGCTGTTCTTGATTTCTAAGGTTCTTTTGTATCTGCAGATGGGAACACGGGATTTATGGCAGGTACTACAGATCCCTGCATGAGAGCTGTGTCCAGAGTCCAGAGTCCAGAGTCCTTGTGTATCTTTAGACTTTGCAGGCGCGGTTCAGCTCGGTGTCAAAGCCAGCCTGAGCCCTATTGAAGTTCTGTGAGACCAAGACTGCAGGGCCTAACGTATTGCCACCCGAAATCGTCTTGAAGCTTTGAAACTTTGTGAGACTAAGGAAATTTGAGTGCCCAAAGTAATGGCAAATTTATGTGGGCTTGAGGGTTTAGGGTTGGGGGTTTAGGATTTAGGGTTTAGGTTTAGGGTGATGCGCGAAATCCTGCATGACCCTAAGAACTTTACAGCTTGGGAATTCTGGTATCATAGTACTAAATGTCATGCAGGGTTTGTAGCATCAACAGTAAGACAGTAGGTTGGGTATTGCAAGCATTCAGCATCAGCCAGATCGTGATCATATTGTAGGTGTATAAAGTCACTAAAGTACTCCTTATTACAGACTGTGATTTGGAACATTTTGGTTCAATGCTTGTTTACTAAGGTAATAAGTTGTGATTAAGCTAGCCGCCAAAGTGGGGTCCCCTATGACTGTTATTTCACGATCTTGTCTCAGCGCATGCTAAATGAAGGGAATCCCCCTTAAAGGTCACATTCTTTAACTATACTCAATATATCACCGGTCTAGGATGGGTGAATCGTGGGTGTCTTCAGGATTTCGCACTTCTAGCCGTGAAAGCCTCTGGAAATCCCGGGCCTGGGGTTTACCATTTCCTTTCGGGATGGATGTGCTACCCGTCTGAGCGTGATATGTAAATCATGCATTTTCAGGTTCTCGAGGGCTGCAGATTTTGAGATTCAATGTAAGGAGTTTGACCGTTGCTCCTTTAGTTTTTGACTTCATCATCTTGCTTCCGATAGGTGCAGGGACACCTGAGGTCAGTGGGTGCAGCAAGATAAATCTTTTGTTGCTTCGTTCAGGCTGGTTTTGGGTCGAGGCTTTGTGGTTGAGGCCCAAAACCCAAGAACTCTTAATTGACTCTAGTAAGGAATATGGCCTATGACATATAAGGGAATGTGTGTTGGATGCTCTGGAGATGGCACCTTAAACCCTAAACCCTTCAATTAGTGCTTGGGGTGCACGCTCTTGAGCGTTTAGGGTTTAAGCTTGGGGTTTGTTTTTTTTGGTTTGGGGGTTAGGGCTCTTGGGGTTTAGGGTTTAGGGCTCTTGGGGCAGAGGCCTTGCGAAGCGTCAGGGCTGAGAGTTTGGGGGCTTGGGGCTTTGTTGCAGGTAACCCTGAACCTGATAAGGCGGCGACTGGTTTAGGGTCTAGAGTTTAGGGTACATCCTGACTCTCACCCAAGATCCTGAGCCGAACCCTAAACCCTAAACCTTACACGCTACACCCTAAATCCTAAACCCTGCAAAACCATGCGTGTTAAAAGAGGCGCTTAAAAAAACCTGCAAACCAGGATGATGTGGTCCAGTCCGTGGACGAGGTTCCGGCCGTTCAGGGTCCCATTGTAAAACTATGATTTCCCTCTACCCTAGAAACCATAATGGACCTTTTGGCTATGAGGCGAGGTCTAGAGGTGAGTAGAGAGCACGGAAGCCTGGACGGTTGGCAGCGCATTTGCAGGGTTCAAGGTTTCCGAGAGTAACTGTTCGACGCCCCCTCATGAATACACCTGCAAATCAAGCACAGATTCGGGATGAAATTCGCCCCCAGGCACAGTGACACCGATTACAGGTCAGTGGGCCCATGTAGAGAGGTTTCACTTCAGCCTTGCAGGACTAACGGTCATGACTGAGCGTGTTTGGAACTATTGCGGATTGTGTAGGTTCAATGTTTTAGGCCGCCGTTGTCGAGTCTTGCACTACAGATTATCTTCCCAAGAATTTCTGGCCGGTTTTTTTTGGTCTATGCAGTTGTAGTACTGAGCATACGAAGACCCTAACCAGAAATCTTAAATTTCATCTGTGATGTTGCAACGCCCCTACTGTTCACAAACATTTCTGCTCGCTTGATTTCTAAGCCAAGTGCAGCAAATCGAAACAATCACATGGGCTATGCTGTCCCAAGATCATGAGAGCCGAGCGCCAATCCCCCCAAAGAGGCTAAGTGCCTAGAACTAGGTGTGAGGTTATGGTTTTGGGAAGCCTCTCCATGCAGCCCCGAGCCATTCAATCCTTCTTGTGAATTTATGTAATACTTCACTGTTCCCGTAACATCACCACACCTGGCGATGTGAGGAGCGCCGGTGGGACCCAGAGGCGCACTGGCCACGTTCATAAAGCACAGGTAGACAATTTAAGGATTGATCCGCTCCTCCTTACATAAGCAACCCCTGCGTCCTGGTGTATGGGGGTATATATGTTATAGTAGGGGTGGGGACGTTTCATAAGTTGGTTTGATAAAGACATCCACTGCACAAGCAGCATGAAGGACAGAGCTTCACGACGCGCAACCACGAAACACATGGCTGTTGAATGAGTTGGACGGGACAGCGGTCCGTTATGAAGTGCTGTGGTCATATTATACATGTGCATGGGTAAAATGAGACCACCATCAAAGAGGTACTAATTTCAATTGAAATGAAGAGCACGCATTTTTTGTCTTCCACCTTCTCGTATTGTCGAGTGTGAGCTGTATCTTCAAGAGCCTTTGTAATCTTTGCTTGGAGCCTCGAGTGTTGTTGGGATCAGGCTGTTCGCGTGATCACGCTGAATCATTGCAGCTTGAGCAGATTCGCGAGGAAGAACCAAGAACTGGAGGTTTCTAAAACTGGGGATCCTCTTTTAGGGGTCCTGTTTGTAGGGATCATATCATGTTATGCTGGAGTCTGTATAGGGGTCCGCTTATTTACGGAAACTACCACTGCAATAACTAGAGGCCCCATAACATGCCTTCATATTCCCCCCTGGAATCCCTTTGTAGTTCCTTGTAGAACCTCCTTGAGCAGGCTGGAGCCGCACTAACCAAGGAGGAAATTCGCCGGAAATACTTAGGCTCACTTTGATGTGGATCGTGTGGGGCTTGTTTAGGGCTTCAGGCTGAGATAGAGTGGACGGTTTGGGGTTGGAGCTGGGCCAGGGTCTAACGGATGAGGGGTGGTGTGGGAGCCTGGACAGATTACGCGCTTAGGGTTTATGAAACATCTCATGGCTTCGATAGTGTGTTGAGACGAACCATGTGACAAGAGGCTCTTAGAGGTACAGCCGCCTCTGGAGTCCCTGGCCATTCATTCTTAGTCCTGCTTCCTGGGGGGGGCTCGAATCGTTTATCCCTGAACGTTTGGGATTTATTTTGGGCCCCCTAGTTATGGAGATTAGGAAAAATGAGCCTCATAGTATTCCTTGACATCCCCTTCTTATCCGTCTGCTCCTGCAGGGCTTCCCCTGTATGATTTATGGAAACTACCTACGATGGGGGGAAAGGATTAACAGCTCCTCGTGTTGTCAGGCCAGTTCCCTCTACGACAGATTCGCGTGTACTGGGAAGGCTGCGTTGCTGGACTGCAAGAAGGGTTGTTCGCGTATAGTCCCTTAAGTAGGTAGAAGATGGGGTGCATGGGGATCTGATTTTTATCCCGAAGCCATATTCTATCGGCATCTACTTGAGGGGACTATAGATTTTTGGGATGTAGCCCCTAGGCCCTAGGCCCTCTATGTGCTAGGGTTTCGGGTACATGGTTTAGGGCATGCCCTTACGAGCCGGAGCATGAGGCAGGATATGTCCAAAAGCCGAAGATCTGAAAATAGTGCCACCTTGAAACTTCCTCACGCATCCTTGGGTCGTGCACTCTTCCTGTGAGCTCTTGAGGCGGGGACATTAGAGGACACCCGAACAACAGCATAGAGCAGGTACTTGTAACTACCAAACTCCGCAAATCTGAAACCCCAAACCCCAAACCAAAAAAAAACAAACCCATAAAAAGAAAAATCCAGGTCCCCTGAACCTGAGAGGAAAAACCCTGAAGCCCAATTCTCAATCCCTTCTCCCCCCAAACCTAAACCCAACTCCCCAACTTTAATCCCCAAACCCTCTACCTTCATTCCCTAAACCTTTTCCAACCCCCCCAGAACCGAAATCTTGTGCCCTAAACCCTCGGGCTCAGCCGTAGTCTGCTAACACACCTGAAGTCTCTAAACTCTCCAGACTTAGCATCGCAATCGTGTTATCTACCCACGCCTCGTTGAGGATGGAGATTTGGGTGACGAAGTGTGTTGGGAATGATGTAGATGCCGCTATAGTGACCACATCTACTCCGTACCACCCGCTGACAACAAAGAATCCCGATAAGAGGCTATATATATATACACATGCGATGTATGTATGTATATATATGTATATATATGTATATATATAGAGGACAGAGAGAGGGTAGGCGCTGCGTTAAACATGCTGTGGGGTTGTTTCATGGTACAGAGGGAGAGGAGGTCGAATACAACCCATGCACATTCCATTTATCTCCCGTGTGATTTTCCGTTGACGCTCCACTCCTTGAATCCTAAACCCTGTTGCCGCCAAACCCAAACCCCAAAAGCTTCCCAGACGCTAAGCCTAACCCTAACCCCTGAACCAAGCCCTCCAAGCCACCAGAATTAGAGGCCACTGTCAATTTTGTAGTTTAGTACAGTCCCTTGTGCTAAGGAACCCATGTCCACTAATTTTTTGAACCAGCCCCGCCACATCATAGAAAGCCTCGCAGCCCCACAACACCGAGCAAGATACAAGGAAAGCACAGCTGGTCAAATGCAACAATCGATGACCTGCAGCACCTGCAGGTGAAAGCTGGTGACTCCAGGGAATGAAGTGGGAAGGCATCCCGTACCACGTGACCCACTGCCAGCGCGGAAAAGAAAAGAGCTGTAGTGGGTAGACTGTTCAAACTGAGGCACCCCGATAAGTACTCCTTCTCCACAGTGCGCATATCAACGAGTCGGTTTTGTAGATTGGACGTGAGTTTCGGCGCATGCATCAAGCCAAAGAACGTGTAGGGACCTCAGAGCCCACGACTTCGGGGAACTTTCGCTTGCAGCGGGCATTGTGTAGGTCTTGCCACCCAACAGAATGGGGGGCATTGTTTGAACTGGGGAACTTTGCTTCTCCACTCATCATGTGTAACTCCAGCAGCCACCATGGGAATATTCGTGGACCACAGCCTTGATGGTTTCAGTTGTGGAGTATCTGCATATTTTCGTGAATTTCCCCATAGAATCCCATGAGCATTACATTTGACATCCGACCAGTGAAAGGAATCCCCATAATACAGACCCCATGGACGATGCTTATCCACGTGCATGCCCTCTTACGAAAGAAGCAGGACCACTAATGCGGAGAAACTACAAGTTCGCTTTTGCCGTTGGAGGGCAAATGGTTGCTTTGTTGTTGTTGGGATCGGGGTTCTCAGCATAACTGATGGCGTTGGTAAACATCAGGGAGCTTCCTTCTTGGCAGTGCTTGTGTGAGGAGTCCCCATGTTTCAGATACAGCCTTATAAAGCCAAACCTAAACGCCTGGAGCAGTGAAACCTTAAGGCGGCTTTAGTTATGCTGATCATGATGAGCCCTCTCAGGCCCGAAGTTATTCGACGTTGACCCCAATTCTTAGCCCAGTCCGCATGGTTGGAGCCTTCAGCTAAATCTGCTGGAGTTCTTCGACGTCATGTGACGTTGCGCGATTTTGCTCCATGGAGTTGAAATTGCAAATCTTGGAGCAGTTGGCAGCCCAAAGCACGACCAATCCGTTCTACTGGCGCTCGCGGGTTCAAAGCGTGGGATGCCCAAGTTTCAACTAGAGTTGTTCCAGAGAGCCGGCACGAAGCATTTGCAATCGGGAAAAGCATTTTTACAAGGGGAGACATGCGTTGAGGAGCGCAAATTCATGAGGGACAGAAATGCAAACCCAATTCAAGCTGACGGGCATAACTGTAACATGTACCAATGTACCTCTTGCTGAGCTGCTGCCAGCCGCGAGCACCGCCCAAGAGGCCAGCTTCCCACTTGCCGATGGCTGTTTGAGATCCAGTGTGTGCTTGGCTTGATCAATGCCATGTATTTTTTTCATCCTTGTTTCAAGGTTCGCAGTATGTACTTCGACATCCTTGAGAAAAAGCCGTGTAGTGTGAGGGGAACTCAGTTGTGGATTCCAAGTTTTGTTTTTCCAAGCGACCTTTTCGTGGCAGTCTTGTGGGCTCAGGGGTTAAGCCTTCAGTCGAAGAGCCGCCTGTGTTTTTCCAGAGAATTGAGGACGGGGGATGCGTGCCCGAATGTCTGAGTAATCCCCATGGAATCCTTACGCATAACAAAACATGTCCTATGATCCCTTCGTCCAGGCACATTAAAACATGCGGCCCACGCCCTCGAGGGTTTGTGGCCCTTTTGTTTGGGTGCATTGTGCAATTCTGTGTAGAAAGTCGATAATGGGTGAAGTGGAACATTCGGTCCATTATAGTGGGTGTAGCGGGTATATTGGGTACAATGGTTCAGGCCCACCTGAAGGACGGCGAGCCTTTCAGGAGGTCTTCATGCAAGAGGCGTGGCAGCTCAGACCCTCTAGCCCAGTGTTTCATGTGTGAAAAATTCTGCTATTTTGATGGGGGTTACGTTTGATGATAAGGCAGCTTTGTGATTAGCTGGAGCGTGATTCTTGTCCTAGTTGCGAGTCTGGAAGGCCAGCAAGGATATTTACTCTGCCTTTTCCTGCTTCTCAACCGTGCTGCTTCTCGTATGTGTACATCGATAGTGTTCCGGCCAGATTCATGGGAGGGATGCAGGTAAGCCTATACTTGAGAAGTGGTCCAGAAACGGTTGAATGCGTGAAGGATTGTGAGGAACATCTCCTTCAACATCCCCGAATCTTTAGACCTTGAGGAAATTTGCCTCTGCGGGTGAAGAAGTGCTGCTCCTACACATGTTCAAGTTCATAGGCAGGTGGAGTTGGAGGTTGGCGCAGGAGACGTCAGGTATGGTTCCAACGTGTACTTATGTCAAGCTCCGCTCAGTTGGAAAAGAAGTACCTGTTTCTTGTTTTGGCGCGTGCCTATCCTGGCCTCAATCTTTCAAATGAGCACACCAAGAAGACGCATATCAACTAGCCTCGCAGCCTCCTTCATGTCCTACTATGCGGAGGCTTGGGTGGAAATTTCCAGGCCCCTTTTTCCCCAGCCAAGCACTTTTGGCCTTTAACTCGTGATTGGCCCCGTCAAGCCCACTTCTCCATGGGCACCGCTGTCGGCTTCTATTGGGATAATGGAAACATCGGAACTACCATAGTATAATAGGGGATATATGCGATTTATAGGGGTTCTATTGGGATAATGGAAGGGAAAATGGAAACGACTATAATGGGTTATACAGGGATTATATGGCATTTGGGAGGCCTAGGTCGCTTAAAGCTTGATCTGTTGCATACTTGCAACATCTTGCAACGTGGGGCCGGTGCTTTTCGCTTCACCGATTACCAAACCGCCTGATAAATCGTATGCGCTCTGCCTAGCACAAGATTCTGCCAACCTGCAAGCCTCTGAATTACGGTCCCACAAGGTCCTAATTTTAGAGGTTCTGCCCGCAAAATCCTTGAGCGCAGCAAAAGCGCGAATTTGAAGTCGACGCTTTCCAGGAAGTTCATCCGCGCGCTTGCTCGCCTGAGCCCCAGAACTTTGTGCGTGTGAATCCTGGTAGGTCTGAATGCTTGCGACAGCTTACGCTGCAGCTTGCCCTGCTAGAAGTTCCAAGTCAGACAGCTGGGTACTTGGGAAGCCCTCTCTTCTATGTATGTAGCCCTTACATATCGCAAAGCATGCCTGAAGATCCCTAAACCCCTCTTGAACACTGGCACATCATCCCTACGAAGACGGGTCATGATGTCTGAACCCTTCCAACTAATCCAAGATTCATCCTGGCGACCCTGAACTTGCGTTTCGGGTTCAGGGTTCGTGTTTTAGGGTTTAGGGTGGGGTTGTGTAGGGGTAACATATAGGGTTTATAGGGGTATATTAAGGGCTAATTGAAAAGCACAGGGAAACTAACATTTAGGCTTCAGGGTTCAAACCTTATTCATCCTGGCAGCTGCGCTTCTGAGGCTCATGCTGCCGGTAGCTGGGAGCTACATTGCTGTATCAATATCTTAAGGGGGAGTGAGGGGGTCACTTCAAATAGAGTCATATGGACAAGTATGGGAATTCTTTAGGATAGCTATAGGGATCCATGCCCTCACTCCCCTTCAGCACTCGTAAGATTACGGCTGTGTGTAGTTCAGTGGCGTGGTTCTTAAGTTCATAGTGGAGCCACCAAAAATCGACCCTTTATTAGGAGCGCCTGCAATGAAGACAGTCATATATTGGGGTNNGACTTCTGAACGAAACGCAAAGTCCTGCTCTCAGTCTGAAGCATCGCAAAACCATGCAAGGCTCTGGACATCCTGGAGAGGAAGGCTTGGAGTTCTGTAGGGCCGAACCATAGGCTGCGTGGGATGGGTTTGAGGCGACATATTTTTCCATACCCATATGCTTTCGCAGTGAACTAAGTGGATGAATTCTTGCCAGGCACGTCTCAGGCTTGCTGATCCAGGGCTTTCTGGCTACACTCATGTTTCATGGGAAAGCGTCAGATCTTTCGCTCAGCGGGCCTCTCTTGGCACATGCAGTTGTGCCTAAACACAGGCTGGCT